GATATTACCAGTGATCAAACCAAAAATTTGGATTCGCTACGTAGACGACACCTTCGTCATCGTCAAAAAGGATGAACTGGAAAACACATACAAATTGATCAACAACGTCTTCAATGACATCAAGTTCACAATGGAACAGGAGTCAAACAACCAACTAGCATTTTTGGATATATTGATCACTAGAACTGATACAGGAAAACTGGAAACTCAAGTATATAGGAAACCAACCCATACAGATCAAATTCTCAACTACAACAGCAACAACCCAAGGGCTCACAAAATCAACTGCGTACACACATTGTTCAAGAGGGCGAGAACACACTGCAGCACACTGGCAGCACGAAGAAATGAAGAGAAATACCTGAAGGACATATTCCAAAAGAACGGCTACCCAATCAATTTCATCAAAAAGCACCAACGGCACACAGCATCACAACCCAAGTCAAGCACAAAAATCAGTAAAAGGATCACCCTACCGTACATACAAGGAATATCAGAAACTGCAACGAGACTGCTGAAAACCTTCGGGATAGGAGTGGCACACAAACCAACAAAATCACTACAATCAATCTTATGCAAACCAAAAGATGAAATAACAAAGGAGAACAAATCAAACATTATCTACAAAATAAATTGTACCAACTGCGACAAACACTACATCGGACAAAGCGGACGCCCCCTCCACCTACGCCTACATGAACATCAATTAGCAGTCAAACGCCATGATATCTCTTCACTTATTTCAATACACGTGGATAACTACGGACATTCATTCGATTGGGAAAATGTAGAAATCTTAGACAGAGGAAACTCCAAAAACACCAGAGAATTTCTAGAAGCCTGGCACTCAGGTCAATCAGCAATCAACAAACATATTGAAATCAATCCAATTTATCAACCAATCAGAAAAATCATGCATATATATAAGAACAAAAATCAAAACAATGGGAGACACAACCTAAACAAAGAAGTGAACAATGATAAATTTAAGGTCAACAAGAACCAATCAACATCGAGGTGCACAGAACAAGCTGTGAAACACATATGGAGAAAATCGAACACTTCACTTCAATCTGAAGTTTGTGCTGATGATGTCGTTCAGAAGAACGATGAAAGCTCCACGACCAAACCATCCAGCTCAGAGAACAAAACTCCATCAAAATCATCCACCTGAGCTACAAATCTTCTCCACCATCTCAAAATCATATGAGCGTAATACGCTTCTCGTTGTTCGAAAATGGGAGAATTTCGCCAAAAGGCAGGCTTCCACTCGAGAACAACTATATTTTCTCCATGAGTGTCTTCGCCAGCATGTTCTACCAACAAGTGTAAAATATAGACCTCCAATCAACTGCCCACTAGGATGGAGAATAGCTGAGCAAAGTGGAAGAAAAATGGTATACCTAATGATAACGGATGCACACTACAGGATCCGCAAATACCAGCACGTCATAGAAGACCAAAAGATAAAGCTACAAAGGATGCTCACATCAGAACATTTAGACATCGTGACAACAGCCATCGAGATATCATGCAAACGACATAGAGAACAAAGAAGAGACACCTTAAAGAAAAAACTAATCAAGATCTCCAAACCACCCATGGAAGAAAACACAAACAACTGCGTGATCAATCTGTCAAAACAACCACTAACAAATACGGAAGAACACCTGCTCCAAAAAGGATTAAACTACAATACAAGCGACGCCTCAAAGCTACAGTTCTTCGCAGCACTAGAGTCATCACTCAAAACTTCCGGAATCAGTGAAGAAACACAACAGGAAATAAGGCAAACTATAGTACCGATAACTCAACAGGTGAAAGAAAACAACCAACTGACTCCACAAGAACAAAAGGCCTTGAAAGAACTCAGAAATAGAAAGGATATTGTCATAATACCAGCGGACAAAGGACGCACCACAGTAATCATGGACAAAGAAGAATACGTCAACAAAGCCGAAGAACTACTCAAAGATAAGAGCACATACAAACTGATGGACACAAATCCCGTCAAAAATTAGACAACCAAATCTCAAAGACTTTAAACAAGCTAGTCAAAGCAGGAGAAATAACAAAACAAGACCAATGGAGAATGAAATCCAGTGGACCAGTACTCCCTCGATTCTACGGCAGGCCCAAAATACACAAACCGAACATTCCACTACGTCCAATAGTAGCACTCCCTGGAACGCCAACGTACAATTTATCAAAAGAAATTTCACGAATACTGAGACATCTAGTAGACTCAGCCAAACACTCCATCAAATCCCCAACACAATTCTTGGACCAAATTAAGGACATTCAAATCAACAACGACGAACTCATGATATCCTTCGACGTAACAGCACTGTTCACCTCAATTGAACCACAGTTAGCAAAAGAAACTATATCCCTACTACTCAACAACGACCCAAATCTCACCAAATACACGACGCTTCAAATTCAAAGTCTACTGGAGCTCATCGATTTATGCCTTACGACATATTTTCAATTCAACAACAAAATCTACAAACAAACAAAAGGGACACCAATGGGATCACCAATATCAGGACTGATCGCAGAAGCAGTGATGCAACGACTAGAAGCCACGATATTACCAGTGATCAAACCAAAAATTTGGATTCGCTACGTAGACGACACCTTCGTCATCGTCAAAAAGGATGAACTGGAAAACACATACAAATTGATCAACAACGTCTTCAATGACATCAAGTTCACAATGGAACAGGAGTCAAACAACCAACTAGCATTTTTGGATATATTGATCACTAGAACTGATACAGGAAAACTGGAAACTCAAGTATATAGGAAACCAACCCATACAGATCAAATTCTCAACTACAACAGCAACAACCCAAGGGCTCACAAAATCAACTGCGTACACACATTGTTCAAGAGGGCGAGAACACACTGCAGCACACTGGCAGCACGAAGAAATGAAGAGAAATACCTGAAGGACATATTCCAAAAGAACGGCTACCCAATCAATTTCATCAAAAAGCACCAACGGCACACAGCATCACAACCCAAGTCAAGCACAAAAATCAGTAAAAGGATCACCCTACCGTACATACAAGGAATATCAGAAACTGCAACGAGACTGCTGAAAACCTTCGGGATAGGAGTGGCACACAAACCAACAAAATCACTACAATCAATCTTATGCAAACCAAAAGATGAAATAACAAAGGAGAACAAATCAAACATTATCTACAAAATAAATTGTACCAACTGCGACAAACACTACATCGGACAAAGCGGACGCCCCCTCCACCTACGCCTACATGAACATCAATTAGCAGTCAAACGCCATGATATCTCTTCACTTATTTCAATACACGTGGATAACTACGGACATTCATTCGATTGGGAAAATGTAGAAATCTTAGACAGAGGAAACTCCAAAAACACCAGAGAATTTCTAGAAGCCTGGCACTCAGGTCAATCAGCAATCAACAAACATATTGAAATCAATCCAATTTATCAACCAATCAGAAAAATCATGCATATATATAAGAACAAAAATCAAAACAATGGGAGACACAACCTAAACAAAGAAGTGAACAATGATAAATTTAAGGTCAACAAGAACCAATCAACATCGAGGTGCACAGAACAAGCTGTGAAACACATATGGAGAAAATCGAACACTTCACTTCAATCTGAAGTTTGTGCTGATGATGTCGTTCAGAAGAACGATGAAAGCTCCACGACCAAACCATCCAGCTCAGAGAACAAAACTCCATCAGAAACTAGTGTTGTATTGTTGATTCTTTATGATTGATTGAATTCCATCAATTACTTGTGTGATATGATTATGAACCTAATCGCCTTGATATAGTAAAGGACAGATATATGTCGGCAGGAGACATTGAATATCAGCTTTGTACAGTTTGATATCCATCAAAGAGCTGTAACTCTATCCGTGATAGAAATTATAAGTTCCTGGAAGATCAAACAACATGTAGCCTGATATTACTAATCAATTAATTGGTTTAATCGGTTCATCCTTTCAGACGTTGCCCGTCGTTAAATTAGTTTCGTTGTAATTTTATGAACTACTACCCCCAAATGCCCTGATACAGCCGAAAGTGGGTGGGGGTCGGCTCTTCCTCTCCAAATGCTCTCACATGGCCACGCGTATACAGCAACTCCAAGGGAAGTCCTACTTACTGCCTTCTCGAAAAAAGGGTGTTGTTTACTTAAGTGAGAGGACGAAAAGCAAATATTCGGCGCTTAAACCGGGTTGGTGGATATGTAGGGTCTACTTAGAGAAGTTGGAAAATCTTGATTCCAAACCAATGGTGCACATGGACTCCAGGATCCTGAGGGAATAAATGGTGTATGAAGCTGTTGTCGGTCACCGACTACCATAAGACTGGGCCTCCTGACGTTGTTCCACTGCCTTGTGGATTAGACCTTTAGGTAGAAGAATTACGCTGTGGCCCACCAGGAAAACAACCTATTTTGATCTGGGCACCCACACACAAATCAAGTGAGTTGTGTGGCTCATATGTATTCAGTGCTCTTTTGTACCAATATTTATGTGTTCAAATAAATAAATAAGTATATTTGAACCGCTACACTAGGTTTGAATTCCTATAAAAGTATAAAATGTGCCAAGGTATAGACTAAACCTTGTTAAATCGTACAAAGTGAGATGAAACCGTTTGTAGAAAGTTTACTGTTTTATAAGGTAAGAGATTAACATACTACTTCGGTAGATAATACTTTGGTATATTGACACTATGAAAACTATCGCCATCTATATATCACTTTAATTCAGTAAATTCATTATGATCAGAGAGAGGTTTTGTGGAAATTGTAAGAATTTAATAACTGAGTTCATGAGCCAATTGAAGCTAGACCACCATAGAAAACTTGGAAGCATTGGACAACCATTTCATCTTAGTATAGGACTTTTCAGCAGTGCGCATCCACGACCTCACCCCACAGAATTCGAACCCAGAACCTAGCATTATAAGCAACACACTAATGCTTTTATAATAATAACACATATGACATATATGTATCTATGCGCTGTTTATTTCATAAAAATGTTTACAGTTCACATTCATTACCCTTGTTTTACATTGAGATATAGTGTATGTATTTGATTTGTAATTATATCTTTCTTTTTTTTAAAAAAAAACGAGTGAACAACTGTTACTTAGCAACATAAACACACACACACGCGAACGTGCATGTCTACATTTTCTGTAAATATTGTTCGTTTATTTATCGATATCGAATTCCACCGGTTATATAAGGTGGAACACGTTTACTCCAACGAAATCTATCTTTATAATTGAAATGTGTTGCATGATCTTTATGCATTGATGGTGAATACCGTCCAGGCATTTCTGGATATTCATCCTCTAAGTCGAATGCGCGAAAAGCGGGAGGCTTCATTTAAAAAGAAAAGGAAAGAGATGATAAAACAATTTGTGAGTAGATCGTTTATCATTGAAAATATAAACAGCTTTTGTAATTATCAAAGTTGTAATAATGGCTGACAGTAGAATTCAGGACGCATATTTCGTCCTATGTTGGATTTTATCGGCTGAATGTATCCCAGTGTTATTATTCAACTGGGACTAGAACCGATTACCCTTCATTTTAAATTCCACTAAAAAGCTAATTCTGGATAGTCACTAGCTTGTGAAATGATTCTGCATTTTATATGTATATACTGGTATCTTTTCGTCGTTTATATTATAGATAGCAATTGCTAAGCCTTTGTTAGCTTACAAGCTTCTTGTAAGGATTATTTCTATATTGTCAATTAGCCATAAGTTTCCATTAAAGTTTGAATAGCGTCGAGTAATGGAAACCAGTAGATGCATCACGACTAGTCACTCGTATCGCAAAAAATCAACAATGAATGTATATCACCACTTATAAGTACAATTTGTATGATCGTAACTTCACAGCGATCTTCACGTATAATTTTTATATGACTGAGAATCGAATATTAAAACTCAAAAATGAAGACAAATGCAAGATAAATGGTAATCGAATCATTCACGTGTTCGAATCCCACATATGGGATCATGAATAAGCATTGCTGAGGAGTCCTAAACTAAGAAGAAATAACCGTCCAATGCTTCCAAGTTTTCAATGATCGTCTAGTATTGATCAAGTTATAATCTCAATCCTTGCATAATCAGTCACCACGGGAAAATAAAGTATCTCTATCATATAAAATTGTTCTAATGTATTCAGTATCTAACTTAGAAACGTTATAAAAACAAATTGTTATCAATGAATGGTACAATATCTATTATTATTGATTAAACAACTAATCACTAAAGAATTATCAAAGTTTGTATAAGAATCTAATGTATCCTTAGCGCCTATTTCTTATGTTTACCATAGTACATACTGAAAGCTTTTATAAACGATATTCATCTAACAGAATGTTATTGGACCTTATTGAAGAATTAAACAGATACAACAGACATACATAGCCAGGGAAGTCCTACTCACTGCCTTCTCACACCACGAGTGTTGTTTACGAAATTGAGAGGATGAAAAACGAATGTCCGGCAATTTAACCGGATTCCAAACCAATAGTGCACATGGGCTCCAGTTTCCTGAAGGAACAAATGGAGTAGGAACCAATCGTTGTTCACCGGCTACCATGGGACTGCATCTCCTCACGATGCTCCACTGCCTTGTGGGTCAGACCTTAAGGTCAAAGGCTCGAAGTGTGGTCCCCTAAGAAAATCACCTGCTTCGGTCTGGGCACCTGGGCAGTATCACAGCCCTCACACATGTCGAATGAGATTTGTTTGGCGCATATATATTTAGTGCCTCCTTGTACCAATATCTATGTGTTAAAATAAATAAATAACCCATAGATACATAGAAGATCATTTCAAGTTGTCAATAATGACAATGATGTTAACACATCGTGATCAGTTCGATAAAAGGATCTAAATATTCAACAAAATCAAACCACCTAGAAGATAACTTGAGTGTAACACTCATGTTTAGTTAATCTAATACGTTAAAATAATAATTTAAAATATTCTAGTGAAAAGTGAGAGAAAGAAAAAAAAAGAGAAAAACATTTTGTTGTTTAAAATGAATCTTTTGTTCAGTGTTTGAATGATTTGAATGAACACTTGAATACATATAGATGAATTTTTTTGTGTTTTTTTTGGAGGGGGGTAGGGAAGAGTGTAAAGGATTTTATATCTATGGTGACTGGTGTTTTTTTTTATTATAAAAAATTCAATAAAATTGTAAAATAATCGCTTTTATTTTAATATTTTCTCATTCAATCGATAAAATGAAATCCGGTCTAAATTGTTTTATTCATTCACTGGAGGCGGGGTGTGTGTGTGCGTGTGGAGGAGGTTTCTTTCCTTACAAATATAAAACACTGTTTCTATGTTACTATTTGTGAATGATTCTGTTATAAATTACATATTTAATCTTTCTTTTTGTATATATGAACAAAGGAAAAGAATTGAATGTGAGAGATAGGATGAAAGTATTTTTCTTCTTTATTTTTCCTTTTCAAAATGATGGTTAGTATTCAGTGAAGGATAAAACAAAGTGAATATCTTAAATGAAGAAGCATCTTCATGTTACTATTACAATGAATAATAATAATAATTCAATGTTATTTCCGTTATATATTTTAAGATGATCCAAATTGGAATAGTGATGAACAAAGTTTAGAATATAGAACCTTAACTAGCTAGTTGATTGAGAAAACTAAAAGTGAATAAGAAGGTTTTATTGGCTAACTGAATAGAAAATATGTGCACAACTCATTCATATATATGTATATATATATATATGTCTACCTTAGAAAATCAATCCAGATTATTAAAGAATAGAATCTATCCATGTCTTCAGAAAGCTATGCCAAATCTTGACTAATAATCAGTATCTCTTACTTAACATTTAGCCTTGAGCTAATATATCTGATTGACCTAGCGTACCATAATAAGGATTATATCCATTATGAGTTTTAAAAGGTTCATTATGAAGAATAAACAAGTGTTTAGATTGCATCAAGTATGTAATACATTCGGTATTGGATTAATGCTATGAAACTATTATGATCATATAGTATCCTAAAGTCACAATTGATTGATCATTGGATGGCGATCAATGTCATGCGTGTCTAGTCTTTATTAGTGCAGATCGAATGCTATTGACCATGTTGCAATATGGCCACTAGCCTAGGTGACTCGACACTGCGTGCACTATTGTGAGATTAGATGGTAGTTGGAGGTGGTTGACAGGAAACCCTGGACTCAGGATCATAAAGTTTATGAGCTTAATCTAGAATCAAATTTTGAGTAATGGTAACATTTGAAAGCCAGTAATAATTTGAAAAGTTTTCTATGTGAACTAATAATTTTGATTTACTGGCATGTAGGAATAGTTATCATTTTAGATTCAAAATGGTTCATATCCTGACAAATATGATGTAGTGAATGTAAATTTCTATGGAATCTCAAAACTAGAATAGAATACTTATTCCATAGTTTGTTATTTTTAGTTCATTACCAAAATATTGTCTGTTTGTAACGTCTACAACATGAGATTATACGTTAGCCAGACTACATATACAACAATGTCTTGAAAGAAGTTTCAAGTATTTAAATTGATATAATCAATCCTACACAATCCTACACGCAAGACTCGAACCCAGGACCCTCGGTCCTGCTGGATGCCGACACTGTGGTTTAGAGGTTAATCGTTCATGTACGAGTCCGATGATCCTGTATTCGAGTCATGTGTACAGGATCATGGACGTCCATTGTTAAGAAGTCCCACAATAGAAGGAAACGGCTGTCCGGTTCATTCAAGTTTTCAATATCTATCTAACATTGATCCGTTCATCATATTCGTCACAACTCGACAATCACTATAATCCTATACTAATTATAGAATTTCTTTAGATTAAACATTTAACTGTTCTCAAGTGTATTTGACTATGTAATAAACAGAAGAAAAAAACTATAAACACTAGTCTATATTGTCATTTGTCAAGAATTTAACCATTTTGTTTATTACGAAACATTTCTGTTACCATGGTAATGAATCATCTTTTAGGAGATAAACAATTATACCTATCTAGTATGACAATCTTTGTTTTGAATCCAAGTCTTGTTTATAATTGACCTAGATTAACTATTCAGTTGAATCAACTACATATGATGATTGCATTTTTAATGAATTACATTAAAAATTTATGTACGAGACAAATCTATGTGTGTATCACATGATAATGACAATTTTTGTCATAAGAAAACATTCAACTACTCGTAAGTAGATTGATTATGGTGGAATAAAAAAATGGTGTAAATCAGTGGGGGGGGGGAGCTGGTAAACTTACATATTGACTTTTCACAGGATTATACCAACAGAAGTTAACTAGAAGTTGGGAAGAAAAAGAAACATTGAAAAAAATATGTAAATAGAATAAAAATTATGATTAATTAAATAAGGAAACGGAGAGACTATAATTTATGAACGAACCAATTAGGTATAAGATTTTGGCGCGAAATTCACTGATCCATTGGGCTAAATAAAGTTTTGGCATTTTAACTTATGTGAGTTCCTGACGGAAACCCTAAAATCTAATTTTTTTAACCTTAATCATCAACTGTAACTCATAATTCTAGTCCCCCATAATGTTTCATAATCCTTATTTAGTCCTAGTTTGTAAGTGGACAGTTTCAAGGTCACTTCAGAGTTGCTCAAAGATCGTCCATAAATTATAATCTCATCACTAAGGTAACTCTTAAGAAAAAAGAAGAATTAATAATCCAACTTAAATATATTTAACAGACAGTAATTTACTGGAGGAATTTGTGTACAAATGATTGAATTCGTCATTTATATCCGGAATGAATGAGATAGTCTAACATTAACATGGAAACATTTTTGTAATGCAAATTTGCCTTCACATTTCCCTTTGCTTTTTTTCAGAAAAAAAAAGAGGAAATGTAACTCATCTAGTGTGATTCGTACTTTAAGTCAAATAAATGGAAACACTTATGTTTGTATATTGTGTATTGTGTATTGAATGTTGAACTAGAATGAATATGAGTTCATCAAAGGTGCTGTAATAATTGGTCTTATATTGAATCTCTCTCTCTCTCGGCTTGCTACTCCTAATAGAGCATAGGTCGCCGACCAGTATCCATTCTACTTGATTCATATTTTGACTTTGATAATTATTCATTTACCAACCTTGACTATTATTATATAATCACTTCTTATCCTATTCAACACATACTTGTAACATATTTTTATGTGACTAAAAATAACAGTTTTAGGCTTGCTTAAATCGTGTTTGTTCACACACTTTCTCCACTGCATTTCTTTTCAATTCTTCAATCTGCTTCGCTCTTCCACCATTGTTTCATCTCCTTGATCACCTGTTCAAATGCAATAAATGCGTGGAATATACATATTCAAAATCTATTCTCGTATTCACTGATGCAAATTAAGTTGATAATCATATACGAGGATTGACGATATGGATAAGTCGATAACGATCAACATACAATCCAACTAGAGTTAGATTAAGTACCATTCTACACATATATTTCTAAATAACTACGTTTTTCTAAACTAAGATTAACCGATAGTGATGAGAAAAATCACTGGTATTATTGATCAGTTGTAAGACTATTGTCCTAATATTCCGTTCTAACTCAATCACTATGAGTGATCAAACATCTAGACATTCATTCCGTTTATTTGAACTGAAACTGAGAAAGTGAGATCATTCATATTCTAATAATCTGGTTAATTAAATAAAATGGAGCAATATGGTGTATATGGTGTAAAATATTTATAAACGGTTATCTAACTACGGTGTGTGCTACTGATATCGACAGATATAAGTAGTTTATATCATCAATCAAAAGTGAAATGCCTAGAGACAGAAGATTAAAAAGATCGAACAGAAGAGAACAAGAACACAAAATGATTGCTATGGAAACAAATGAAGTATTTACTATATGGTTCATTCATGGTACATTTGATTATCCCCATTTATGTTCTCATTGTTTATATAAATGACATCCAACTTATGTATAAGATAAAATCTCCAAGAATGGGATACATCAGTCTTTTCAATGTTCATCAGTAACTATTAATGATCTTTCTGTTGGGGTGATCCAGAAAATTGCTTGCAAAAGACAAACAAGTATCAGGAAGCACTAAGAAGCGTTTCATCCATTCAGCGTTCACTTGAAGTCTTAGCCAAAAATATCAAGGAAGCGAAACGTCACACGCAGGGGCTCTGATTGGTTGGCTGCTACACTGCTACTATGTTTAGTAGCATTCCAGAATCTTCTAGCAACCCAAGGACATTTAAAATGTTATAAAAACTTTGTATTTTCTGTATTAAAATGGACCTTGGAGTAAACTACTTCTCGTATACTTTGAGTCTTCTCTCTCGTGTTCAGGTCGCTGTATAGTTCTAGCTTGGGGGTTACAGAATAGCTTAGGAGACGAATATAGCGTTCAATCCGCAAGACATATCGCTTACAATCTTCATGAGTTTCATAGAATAGTTCAAATCATTTTTGATAGAGTTTTATTCTCTAAGCTATTCCATCCAAATCATCCCCATCTGAGCTACGAATCTTCTTCACTAGTTCAAACCATTTAATAGAATATTTCCATTGATTGTAATCAATGGCAAATTAGTTGGTTTATTTTGATAGCGTAAATAATTCTTTAAGGTTAGATTTTTCTATTTATTTGTAGTTACTTCATATTTGTGACGGTTTATTTGTTACCCAGGAAATTGTCAAGATGTGTCAAGTTTTCTCTTCTGGATTATTTTGTATTAACAATTTACCATTTACAGGTCACTGATTTTAATCATAAAATAAAAGATACCAATCTATAGGTACCTTTTTTCGAGTTTTAAACATGCACATTGATTTGGATGGATTATGGAAAGTACTTCAGTAATAAAGAGAAGTTTCATTAAGAATTCACTTCAACAATGAAACTATTTAAAATTAAGAAGCTCTGAATCAAGAAAGAGATACCACAACAAGTTTACCTGTAGTTGTTCTTGAGTTACTGTCGGTCTGAAGTTCGAGCAAAGAAGGAGGGTTCGGCATGGAGTCGGTAACTCTATTCCGTAGAAAAAACTCTTGCTAAAATATGTCAACCAAATTAAATAAATTAAACAATTTAAACTCTGCTATGGGAGTTGAAGAAAGAATTATGACGCCTCAAGATGAAAGATGAAATTTTTCGGAAATCACGAAGTCGATACCTCTTCTAACAACCAAAACAACCATTTTTATGGGTAAATGGGACTTCAAGATAGTCACACTGTAAGAAGCTGAAACGTGGAAGACCACCACAACCATCATAGAGAAGGTATATGTCTACACAAGATACTCAATATCCGTTGGCCAGATACCATCAGCAACAATCTACTGTGCGGGGGGACAAATCAGCTTCCAGTTAAAGAGAAAGTTAGGAAAAGACGATGGGAGTGGATATGGCATACATTAATAAAATCACTAAATTGAATCACGAGGCATGCACTAACTTCGAATCCTGAAGGGAAACAGAAAAGAGAAAGGCCGAAGAACACACTGTATCGGGAATTGGATGCAGACATAAAAAGGATGAATAACAACTGGAAAGAATTGGAAAGGATTGCTCAGAACAAAGTTGGATGGAGAATGCTGGTGGGTGGCCTATGCTCCTCCATGTGGTGCAATAGGCCTAGGCAAATAAGTTAGTAAGTAAGTAAATACGTAAGTAAGACAGCACGACACCATCAGAATTGGAACCTCAAATTTTCAGATGATCCATACTTAAAACTTGTCATTCGATTCCATCAGTAATCATTGTCACATTCCCGAGTTGTATGAAGTATCTGTTCTATTTAACTGAAAAATCCAGTAACTGAACGTAATAAGCTTTAGGAAATCGTAAAGAGGAGGTAGATAATTATCTCAAACATTCAAGAATATAAATACGTCAGTCATATAATTACGAATTGCAGAAATAAAAAGGTTCAAGTGAAGTACACAATAGACCTATTGAGTTGCCACCTTAATGAAAATGCCCAGTGACTTATTGAAGATATCTTTGACACAGTTTTAGTAAAAATCTAAACTTATTTTATATAAATGTTTGATAGTTTATTAATTGAGTTCATGAGTCATTTGAAGCTAGAACACCACGGAAAACCAGGAAGCACTGGACGGCCGTTTCGTCCTAGTGTGGGACTCCTTACCAGTGCGCATCCATAAGAACCTATCATTTTCATGCGTGGACCACTGAGACGGCATCCAACGGTGTTAATGTCTGACCTCAATCAATCTACAAAATCGTACCACCGTCCGCCATTGTCTTAAGTGAGTCACTATATCACGACAGACCTGGTCATATTATCATATCCAAAAGAGAACAAAATTTAATATTATTGATTTAATCTAATATTACTGATTTAAAGCTTATGGAATAAACAAGTATCAGGAACGAGTAAAATACACGACACAGTAATCAACAATGAAACCACTGTTTGATACATGCATAAATCTTCAGCTAAAGTCATGCATCTTGTTCTATTAAAGAAGCAGTAAGCGGAAACTTTTCCACAGTCACAACAAACAGTCTTACATTAGGATTTCTTCAAGACACTACATGAAAAAAACTTAATTCTACATGAGGTGAATACTGATGATATTGTCCAGAACGACAATGAAAGCTGAATAATTAGATGATCTATCTTAAAGAGTTCACCAATGTCATTACTACTAAAGCTCGTAGTTAATTATATGTAAAACGACATGTGAACCATCAATCGATATTAAAAAGTATTATGTGTTGTTATATCTTGTGACATTGTACTCTATTAATATATAATGTAATGATACCGCCAACTAGATAACAGTGATTTATCAACTGGACCAATCACCCATAAACCCTGTACGAGAAGTCTAGAGTCCTTATCGGTCCTTCTTCCTGCCTTTTAAGTCTAGAACATCAATCTCAGCCTCCAAGATATGAATCATTTATTTCAAACATACTGGGTTTATATACACTATTCAAACAGATCACATCTTAACATAAAATAGAAAACAATATATGTACAAGATCTAGCCGAAAGTGTCTGTGGATGTGGGAGATAGTAATTAATAGACTGGACATAACTCAAGAACGGTAAATCGTATAATAATGATCTATAGGTCAAAATAAAGCTTATCGTTAGAGAAACATGAATATGCATAGAGTAGCTACTTAACAATTACACCAAAAAGAATATATGTATCATATTGGTCCCAACAGTTACCATTCATTATTCTTGTCCGAATATAACACTTCTATTTCATAAACAGACTGAATTTAATAATGAAACGTAATTTATTCTCAAACAAAACTAGATGTGACATACTTTTGAAAAAAACTTTTTTTAATTAAAGTTGGAGAATTTGTAATCTCATCTATTACTTATTACATAATGTCACTAAGCGAATAAAGTTACTTTGACAACATCGATTAATTTTGTTCCTTTTCCTTAATCTATTTATTAAAATAAAAAAACTATTTCGATTAGTAACAGAAGGGGTTTTTGTGGATACTACAGGAATTTTAATAGTTGAGATCATAAATCACTTGAAGCTAGACTACTATGGAATGCCTGGAAACACTGGATAGTCGTTTCGTCCTATTAGGGGACTCCTTTTGATAATAATCAACATATGCTCACTAGTGATTGTATCCAATGGTTATTTCCTGGAGTTCTAGTGAGAAGCACTGACTAATGATGGATGTGTCGCTCAATTTCTTGGATTGGCTGAAGTTAGACATTTACACCGTTTATTGCTAGCCAGCTCAGTGGTCTAGAGGTTGAGCGTTCACGTGCAAGACAGATAGGTTGTTGGTTCGAATCTCGTGAGGCGGGATTGTGGACGGGTACCGTTGAAGAGTTCCATAATAGGACGAAACGGCTATCCAGTGTTTCCAGATATTCCATGGTGGTCTAGCTTCAGTTTACTTATGATCTCAACTATTAAAATATTTTAATATCCAAAACTAAAAAATAAGTGAATTTAATAAGAATGTTAGCCATTATCAGTAAAGAAAATGAATTAGCTTACTTATTAAGATTATCATTAATACTCTCTTCTTTTAAGAGTAATTAAATTAAATCAGTAGGTTTACAAGTATTCGCAGATATTCAATGTAACTATTAATGCAATTTGTGAATGGATAGTAGCTCATAGATGCAGTCCAAGTGTAGACTGATGTTAGATACCGTTGCTTACTAACGTTTTTTCTACCTCTCTTCTAGTGGTTGACTGATTTTTGAAGACCTTCACATCTGAGAAGAAGAACCGTATAGAATGGACAGCCTCCACAGAAATAAGCCTCAACATATACAAGGGTAAAATAAAAAACAACGATCATCAACCAAATCACAATTTATGGAGAAGCACTGGGCGAGGTCGAACGCTTTAGTTACCTAGACAGTGCCATTGATAAACTAGCAGAATCTGACACAGATGTAAATGCACGGATTGGGAAGGGAATGATAGAATTCCTACATTTTATCGATATTTCGAAATCAAAACTACTGTCACACTACACCAAAGCCAGAATTTCTAACAAAAACGTCATGACAGTACTATTGTACAAAGCTGAAAATTGGGGAACTATGACAATCATCATCATATAGACAATTTTCTATGCAAAATACTTCAGATCCGTTGGTCGAACACCATCAACTACAACGTACTGTGGTATAAAACAAACCAACTGCCAACTGAAAAGGAAATTAAGAAAAGAATCTGTAGGAGGACAGAACACATATTGTGTAAATCATCAAACTAAATCGCGAGTAAGCTGTAACTTGGAAACCTGAAGGTAAAAAGAAGAGAGGCAGATTAAAGAACATTTTTGTTCAGACTTAGAGGCAGACACCAAAAGATTGAGTAGCACTTAGGAACAACTGAGTAGGAGAATCTAGACTAGATTTTGTTGGATAATTCTGATCGGCAGCCTATACTTCACGAGTCGTTACATGTATAGGTAATTAACCAATTAAGTACCGTTGATTTCATTAAATACTTTTGTTTGGTGGGAAAAAAATACGGTTATGCACTGACGAAATATAGATAGAATCGTAAAATAAGGTACGTCAATCCCTAGTAATACCACATTTGATGTTATGCTATTGACTGTTGTCAAACACTCGTCAAATAACATGACCTGTAAATACATACTGGCATCGTAGTCGAACCTCAGTTGTTGAGGATTCCAACACTTGTTTATTTATTTTCTTAATCATTTATCTGTTTCATTATCGTTGAACTTGAAAAATTACTATGCGACGTTATTGTAAGTCAATGAATGTTGTCAGCACATAGCGATAAGATTTCGCTTAACAATTGAACGAAAAAGAAATTAGATATATGCATTTTATTAAATATCGAGGATTTTGAATAGGAAACTAATGGAGGACAATTATTACGTAATTATTCATCAAGTTAAAATTACCATACAATAATCACTATATGTTTAAATCATTGTTCCAACGGATTTGTATTTATCAGTATACGGTTATGGAGATGATTTAATTATTGATTGAGATCACTAGTGACTAGCTTCGTGAGGGAATTCTCGAATTTGTAGTGAGAAGCCGTGATTAATGGAGCTAATCTGTGTTCGGGTAGTGACAGATATCTACCTCAATACAAAGGAAGATGGTTGCAAAATTTCACGGATTGGTTGAAGTTAGACATTAACACCAATGGATGCCGGCCAGCTCAGTGGTCTAGACGTTGAGCGTTCGCGCGCGAGACGGAAGGCTTTAGGTTCGGAGCCCCATAATATGATAAAACAGCCGTCCTGTGCTTTTAAGTATTCATTAGTGGTCTAACATCAATCGGTTCTTGATCTTAATCAATGATTTGTGTTTACCTAGTCAAAGTCATCTTCGAACTATGTTTATATACATAAAGACATAGAAAACAGAACAAAATGTATTCAACGAACAAGGAAGATAAATTCCGCCTGCAGCCTCTCTGAAGCTACCTTTGGTCACATGCCCGAATAAACAAGGAAGTTTAGACATGGGGTTAGTTACTCCTACCCGTAGAAAACTAACTCACTAAAAAAACACGCTAACCAGAAATTAACGAGAACAACGAAGATTGATGAATAATATAACAATATGGTTTACTACCGACAATTCGATAATACTTATATAGATTGATATCATAAAGGAACCGCTATATCCGGAAATACTCTGGACATTTCTTCTTGGCAACTAACATAATTTTTATCACTGACATACTACTCATGATGCTCAATTTATTTTGATGATTTCGACGAAATACAAGAAATATCAATGAATGAAATAAAATTAGAAATATCAACATAGAGATGACAATATTCTGATTTGAATAGAATTCATTTCCTCCAACTGATCATAGTTTATCATAAAAAGAAAGAGATTGTCTTTGTGAAATCTTCTATTAGATACTTGATAGAATAAGTAACACTAAAAAGGATTATTCGGGGTACATCCTAAATCTTAGTTTCATATTTAATAATGAAAAATAATGAATGTTTACTGATGTTATGCCATATCATTGTAAAGAAAAGGAATGTTACCGATGAGCTATTAACATAAGATAACATGATCTTATTAAGGGGTAAACATTCATTTTCCATCATTATTTTAGATACTGATATTCACTTAATAGTCAATCCACTTAAAAAAAAAGTAAATTTTGGCAGCCTATTTGAATATCTAGATTACATGTTCCTTGTCATCTAGATCTTTCAACAAGTTATCTATTTTCTTGTTTAGATGGTGGTTGGAAGTAGTCGATAGGAAACCGTTGACGCGGGTTTCGTGCTACTTGGCACTCGTCAGCAAGGTGTACCTGTAATCTTGAGGGAACTGGTGCACCGTGGCTGGATTTGACACACATGACATTGATCAATTTTGATTTTCTTGTTTGCTTTAATACATCATGATGTCTATTAATCATGTAACCTATTCAGATGTCTTACTGAAATGTGTACAACCTTTCGTAGTATAAGTTACATGAAGGTAAAATCAGAGACAACTTGATGAGTGACAATATTCATTGATTTCAGTGAACATTATTCAAATGTCATTTCGTGAAATGCCAACTTCTAACTGCCAACTACTCAATATTTATCATCAAGATCGACCTAGAATTAAACAAACAGAAACTTGTTGAAGCATTTTGTGCTTAGAATTCTATATTATACCAAGACTATCATATTGAATAAACCGCCTAATCAAAGATATCATGGTTGCTGGCGATATTTATCGAAAAGAATGTACATTATTTAGATTTCAATTGACTGCATTGCTAACCTCTCACTGTCGATCACTCAATACGTTATCGTCAGGATTGACCAAGAAGTAAGCAAACAGAGATGTATTGAAATACTTTGTGCTGAGAACTCTATATTATGCCAAGACTATCATATCAAATAAAGCTAATACATTTAATTTAAAACAACCAAGATCATAAATGAAACAACTAAATTGTATAATAAGATTATCATTCAATAATTCAATCAGTCATTTATATTACCTACCAATGAATAAGATCAATACTGATGTAGTTATGAAATGATTCATTGTGATCCTTGTTCGAATCCTTCCAAATGTGTTTCTTTGTTTGTTTGATTGTCCTTTTTTTCAACAACAAAAAAATTGAATAGAATTATGTAATAAACTTTTAAATGAAATTCGCGCTGAAGTTGAATAGTTACTCAAGATTGAATGTTTTGTTTCAATGATGTAGTCTCATTTGTTTATATTTAACTACTTATATATATATACTTATATACTTATATATATATTCATGTTGTCACAGAACGAATTGTGTTTGTATGCTTCAATAATAGAAAAAAATATATATATAATCTCCGATTGGTTAAAGGAACTGATTTCTAAGGTGTTTCACCGTAAGTGATAATTTCACATTCAAATATTTAAAATTTAATAAAGTGTATAGAAGTAAGTAGTCCCACGCAGCAACACACACATATAGACATGGATACATGATGACATCATTGAATATGTTCTCTTTTCTTTTTTTCTTTGTTGTTGTTGTTGCTGCTGTTGTTCTTGTTGAACGACTATCAAATATTATTGGTGTGAAATCATCCTTGTAAACGAAAACAAAAAAAGCAAACTTCATGGTTAATGAGTTCCCGTTAATGATGTAAACTGTAAGTATGGTTAGATGAAAGTTATAAGTTTACCTATTTTTTTGGTTTGTAAAGTGTTCATTATTAAATGACTTATTTTTGTTGTTGAAAGATTGATCAAGTTTTATCAGAATATATGTGCTGTGTACTACTTATATTGACATAAGTAGTAGATGATGTGAGTCGTGAATAGAAGGTTTGGCAGCAGAGAGACAAGAGGATTGAACAGTAAAGAATGGAAACAGAATGCAATTTGTATGAAAATGCAAGAACAATGGAGTCTGAGTCATTATGAGACAATCGATGGACATTTTTGCAAATTAAGCATTTACTTTATGATTGTTAGATTTTATGAACAAGTCCTGTAATTTTGTGTTAGGTACATTCGATTGTCTCCACCCGTGTTCTGTTCACTTAGAATTAATGTATTCAAATGATAATTGTACTTTTGTTGTGTGTACTACTACTTGTACGGATTTTAAGATGATGGAGAAGATTTGTAGCTCAGATAGATGATTTTGATGAGTTTTGTTCTCTGAGCTGGATAGTTTGAACGTGGAGCTTTCATCGTTCTTCTGAATGATAAGTAGACTTCTACCTGAAGTTTGTGCTCAGAGAACAAAACTCCATCAAAAACATATACGGATTGATATAAGTAGTATATAACATGAATTGAAAATGAAATGCTTACTAGCAGAAGAGTGAAATTGAATGAAGAGAAAGAAAAACAATGAGCAATCAGAATAATATCAGGATTGGAAGAATGATGGAATATTTAAAGGAAAAATCAAGAAAGATATGTACATAATATATTGTTTTCACATTTTACAAAACCACTATGATTTTAAGCACAAATGGATAATGGCTAGCAGTGGAATCCAGTTTGACACGCGTTTCGTTCTATTCATGACTCGTCAGCTAGATATACCTGCATATCACAGTTGATATTCACTCCAAGACTCGAACACAGCACTATTCGCTTCAAACGCCATTGTGTTTTCCACTTAGCTACTGAGTGCTGATTGTCAATTGCTTATGCAATGACGTGAATTTTAAATTCACTTCGTATTGTTTACTCGAATCGTACCATTAGTTTCGGATATAGTAAAAGTCATTTACAGATTATCTTGATATAATATTTGACCCACTACTTACGTAGATTGGGACGTTTTCAGAAATAGTGTCAGTTAAATGTTTGACGTAACATGTGACATATATAACTTTATCAAAAGATATGTAGTTAATAGTGAAAGTCAGGTATCGTGTTTCGTCCCAGTTGAAACTCATCAGTTGTATATACCTAAATTCAAACACTGATATCCACAAAGAGACTCGAACCCACTAACTTTCATTACATTTGACCTAACAGATTATACAATGAGTTACCGTATCCACAATTTGAATTCCACTCCTTCATATCAACAACGAAATAACTCAAATCGTCCCTAACTATAATCTAAACATTTAAACCATACAATAATATTCATCTTCAATACAATTCAAATGTTAACTCATTTGTATGGAAGTGAATAGAAAAAAACAACAATAGCACAAATCCGTGAAGTGAATCTTCCAGTAGATGAAAGTAGGCTGGTGATTAACCAATTCCTTTATTTAGTCACATATTAAGTGATACCTATACATGTCCATATATGGACATGTCCAGTTTATATACTGAAATGATTCTAGAAGTGTCAATATGGATATATTTTATTGAAGTTAAGCTTAGTTTTTAATAAATGTCAAACTAGTTTCTAATTAAATGCTGAGACATTAATCCTCTTCTGAGTATTGTGTTGCATAAATTAATTCTAGTGTTTTTCGTATGGATCAAAAGATTACCGGAAGATTTCCAAATTTTCCTCATGAAATTTAATTAAACTATTTTCAGTAGATTTATAAATGCTTTACGTATTACTTTAGACAGCATCAGAGTAACTCTCTGAATATGAGGATCATTTTCATCTTCATGACTAGAGTACAGCAGCATCTCTCTCGAATCTATTCTTTTCTATCCTACTTGAATCCATTGGGTTTCACTTATTCAGACCACAGCCAAGTTGTATCTTCTCGTTTCCGCAGCAGTTTGAGTGGTCCTCCCGGTCTCCCACATTATCCGAAAATTCCAAGTATCTATAATAATTATTGCTCTGGTTGTTTAAAGAGACATTGACCTCGTGACTTCCGAAGAATAACCATGAGGCGTCATAATTCTTCTAAATAATGATCATTCAACTCCTAGGGCAGAGTTTAAGAGGTTTTGGATGGAGAATGCTTGTGCGTGACCTGTGCTCCTCCACGAGGTTTAACAGCCATAAGTAAGTAAGTTTTCAATGGACTACTTTTTTTGTTGAAATTTGATGCATTCATTTTAAATTTTAATGACCAGTAGAAACACTGAAAAAATTTCATTGTTAAATGTTCATAAAACTTTCTTTTATCGTTTCATAATAATAATAAGTCAAATTCTGAATAAATCTTAGTTAATTAACATATAAAAGATGGTCGCGCAATTTTGTGGATTGGTTGAGTTTTGACATTAACACCGTTGGATGCCAGTACAGTGGTCTAGAACTTTAGCGTTCACGCGCGAGACTGAAGGCCGTGGGTTCAAACCTCGCGAGCGCATTGCTGAGGAGCCCCATAATAGGATGAAACGGCCGATCAGTGCTTCCAAGATTCCACTGGTGGTCCAACATCAATGGGCTCATAATCTCAACCAAAAACTGACTTGAGTGACATTTAATGTACAAAAGCTAAGTATGTATACTAGTTAACCGCTTAAGTAGTATATATGAGAGTATGAATATAAAATGTAATCTATCAACCAAGTAATTACTTCATTAATACACAGAACCCGTTTATTATTCATTCAGTTTTTTATATTTGTTGTATTCAAGTTTCAATTTGAAGAAGGGGTACTTCTCTTGGTCTGTAACACAGACATTGTGGTGTGCTCTACTGATATCGACAGATATATGTAGTATGTAACAGCAATCAAAAGTGAAATGTCTTGAGGCAGAAGGTTAATGAATATCAAAGAAAAGAGAACGAGAACAAAGAATGTTTGGTGTGGAAACGAAAGAACAATGAAGCCTGAGGCGATTAATTGACATTTTGTAAATCAACAATTTAATATATGGTTCTCAGATTTTACTAAGATGTTCTGTAATTTTGTATTGAAATACATTCGGTTGTCTCCACTTGTGTTCTCGTTCACTACATTATATATATTTCAACCAGCTGATGATCTCAGCTATTAAAATTACTGTAATATCCACAAAATCCACTCTGAAACTAATCAACATATGCTCACAAGTGACTGGCTTTATGAGATATTTCCTGGAGTTCTAGTGAGAAGCGATGACCAGTGGAGTTTAACCGGATCTGTTGTGGGATAGTTACTCATTGAAGACAATGGTGGATGGTGGCTCAATTTCGTGGATTGGTTGTAGTTAGACATTAACACCGCTGCATGCCGGCTCAGTGGTCTAGAGATTAAGCCTTCGTGCAAGAGGCTGTCAGGTTCTGGGTTCGAGTGTCGAAGGGGAGGGATCATGGATGCACACTGCTGAGGAGTCCCATATTAGGAGGAATCGGACATCCAGTGATTGCAGGTTTTCCATGGTGGTCTAGCCTAAGTTGACTCATGAATCCAACTATAAAATTAATAAATATCTGTTCAGTACTACTGTATTGTCAGTGGTTCGCTTGTTCATGTTAGTTCATGATGAAAACAGTTTTTATAATGAACAAACCTCTACAACTTATCTACAAACATACCATTGATAGACAATTCATTGATATTATGAGCCATTATAAATTTACGATAGGATTGAATTATTCATGAAAATTTTCATTGTAAAATGGACATTAATTCATGACAATTGATATGGTCTACTGACACCGTTGGATGCCGGCCAGCTCAATAGTCTAGTGGCTAAGCGTTCACACCCAAGACCGATAGGTCGTGGGTTGGAATTTTATGAGGCGGAATCGTGGATGCGCACTGATGAGGAGTCCCACAATAAGACGAAACGACCGTCCAGTGCTTTCAGGTTATAATTACTACAATATCCATAAACTCCATTCTGATACTTTTATAAATGGTAACACTGATATCTGTATAGAAGATAAAAGAAATTCCAAACACGATTCAATTTTTCGTCTTTTCTTTATGTTGTATCTTCAGATTGCTATTTGTTAATACAGAACCATTGATGTTATTTTAATACAAATAAGGTCTATCAAAGATTTCATGTAATGGCAACTAAAACATCATTTAACAATAATCCTCTATTACAAAGGAACACATAAAGAAGACATGATATTCCAATAGACAAATGGTTAACCTCTTAAATACTAACGGAAATATGAACTTGAAGCATAAAAGAAAGTGACAAATGACCAATCAAAGGAAGACAATGATTACATGAAAATGTGAAATAGAAAATTAGCACTCACGATTATCATTAGTAGGATGAATTTAACATTAATGAATAGAAATAAAATATCAGAAGGGGTTTTGTGGAGATTGTTTAGTAATTTCACTGATTGAAATCATGAGTCGATTGAAGCTAGTTGGTTAAGCGCCTGGCGCAAGACTGATAGGTCCTGGGTTCGAATCTCGTGGAGTGCGGGATCGTGGATGCACACTGCTGGGGAGTCCCATACTAAAACGAAACGACCGTCCAGTGCTTTCAGGTTTTTCATGATGGTCTAGCTTCAATTGACTCA